CTCAAACTTGCGATGATCCTCCTGCCTCAGCTGGCCAAGTGCTGGGATTATAGGTGTGTGCCACCACGCCCGGCTTCTTTCCTGAATTTCTGACAGGATGAAGGCCCTGGAGGGGACACTGACTTCTGACAAGAGTGAGGAGGACTCTTGGCAATTCCAAAGGAACCTCCCCAAAGGATGCGGATTAGCATCTCCATCTCAAAAGTTCCCAGAACCTCAGGAGTAAATCTGTGACTCCTCTGGCCTTCTCTGAAGACGTAAATCTCTGTCTGCTTCTCAATAAACTACCTCCTCTCTGCAAAGTACCCTGTGTCCTAACTGAGTTCTTTTATCAAAGGTACAAAGGATAGAGGACCTGGCTTCCATGTCCACCCAAGAGTGGACACTGTCAAAATGGACGTGGTCCAGAAATCTCCAGCTCCAGGAGTCAAGGAGGTCCTGCTGAAGCCAGGAGGTGGCTATGGATATGTACAAATGTGCCCTGATCTAGATGTGTCCCCCAGAGCTACGTGGGCTGGAAACTCCACCCCTCAACACAAGAGTGTTAACAGGTGGAACTTTGGAGGTAACAGTCATGGGGGCTCCACCCTTGTGCATGGATGACTGAATGGGATGAAGGTGTTGCTTATGGCAGTGATTTTATTAGAAGAGCTCCTTCCTGTGATGCCCTCTGTCATGTCCATGATGTATCAAGAAGGCCCTCCCCGGAGGAGAGGACCATGCTCTTAGGCTTTCTGTCCTCCAGACTCTGAGCTAAGTAAACCTCTTTCCTTCATAAATCACCTAGTCTCAGGCATTCTGTTGCACCAAAAGAAAAGTTACTAAGACACCGATGGCTAAATTTGCAAAGCCAGTCTAAGCTTTGCACCCACATTTCCCCATTTCTTGAAGAAATGGTATTTGATTAACTTGAGAAAAGCTAGCTGATAACCAAATTCCACTTTTTAACTGTGAAAGGCTTGGGTCATATGCCTCTGACCTGAGAGTCCCTCACCAACCTGGAGGAAGGCCAGGGCTCTGACCACACCATGGAGAAGTGGCCACGGGTGATCCCTTTGCCTCTACACACAGTGCTCCAGCCCCTCATCTGCTGGCCAGTGTCCACTCTAAGGTTATAGCATGAGCACTCTTCCTCCAGCAGCAGCTGAATCCCAACCTGGGGCTGTGGTGGATCATGGTGATTTTTGCCTTTGTGCTCCACTCTAGGACAGTCCTCTGGGAAAATGTTGCCCAAATGGTTAGATGAAGTGGGTCCTGCTCAGTGGGAGAGCGCTTGCCTGGCATACAGAGAGCCCTGGGCTTGATCCAAGCCCTGAAAAGGAGACGAGGAGGAGAAGCAAGAGGAAAAGAATCAGCTCCATATTCTAGGAGTGACCACAGATTGCAGATTAAACTAGGCAGCATAGTTAATCTCCCCTGCCACAGGCAATTTTGAAGACAGGAGTCAAACGGAATTGAGCTCAAAAATATTCCAGAGCCTCCAGAGAGCCTCTCTATACCTGAGCCAAATCTGAGAATCAGCAGGACTAGAGCTACTGGGTGCCATGGTAACAAGAGAGCGTTAGGAGGGTGAAGTTGACAGGGGAACGTCAAATCAGAGGAGAGAAGAGTTAAGACAGAAAGGTCACAACATCCTGTAAGGCTCTAGATCCAGCTGACCCTGAAGCTTCCCTCTGAGCCCTTCCTTCATATGAATCAATACATTTTTTTTAAATTGGGTTTCCTAGCTGGGAGTGGTGGTGCACTCCTATAATCCCAGCACTCAGGAGGCTGAGGCATGAGGATCATTGCAAGTTGGAGACCAGCCTGGGCTATCCAGCGAGCTCAAAGCCAGCCTGAACTGCATAGTGAGACCCTGTCTCTAAAAGACAAAAAATAAACTGGGTTTCCTTTACATTTTACATTTGAATGTATCCTGATAAATTGAGCCAAGGTGCAGACAAGTGTTTCTACGTGGAAACACTGCCTGGTGCCTCTTGTAGACAGGCATATTAAACAAATGCATGCTTGCTTGCTTTGGCTAGGGGCATGCCAGCCTGGCAAGTCCAGGATGCATGGCATTCTCCACTTGTTCCTCTGCACAGTTTGACTTAGGTTAAGAATGCTGCCCCCCAAAGCTGCATGTGCTTGTGGGCAGAGCTTTGGGAAGGCCATTAGATTATGGAGGGCCCATGGCTGACCTGCTGTTAAGGGGTAGGGTCTGGTGGGAGAGACAGGTCTCAGGGCAGGACGAGATGGCATCTCCCTTCTTGGTTCCTCCCTTTTCTGTGCTTCCTGATCACCGTGACGTGAGCATCTCTCCTCCACCCTCCCCACATGCCACTTCTGACCAGAGACAGCTGACCACTCAAACACAGAGGCTTCTGACTCTGTGAGCCAAAATAAACTTTAATGTGTGAGTGTCAGGTACCATGTCCCAGCAAAGAGGAAGTGAGAAAGAACAAATCTTACAAATCTTATGAGAAAAGATTTTGTCAGTCTGTCTCTCTATTTTTAGGACCACAGGATTGAATAGGGACCCCTGAGCTACACCCCCAGCCCTTTTTAAATTGTTTTTATTTTGAGAGAGGGTCTGGCAAAGTGATGGGTCACCCAGGATGGGTTCAAACGTGTGAGCTTCCTGCCTCCCAGATGAAAGGTTCTTGCCCTGGTATAAATTACTGTACAATTATGGCGGTGGTCTAACGTGGTGGAAGGCCAAAGCACAAATGCCTACCACTTCCTGCTTCCTCTTCAGCCCTAATGGCACCTTCCCTTCCTGTTTGTAGGCACACAGAATTCCAATCGTTTCCTCACAGGTCATCAATATCCGCCCCATGCATCACTTCAATCAGAGGTCATAAAACCTCTGCCTCTCTGTGTCTGGTTGAAGGAGAGGGCCCAGCCGCCATGGGTTGTGTGCACCCTGCATCCTCCCACATCTTCAACTCAGTAAACCTGTTCATTTTGTATTTTTGTTTCTCTGTTGCACCAGAATACACTAACACCAGCGTGCTGGGATTATAGGCATACAACACCACGCCTAGCTGGACTTTTCTCCTTGAAGTGGCTCATCTCCATAATGGTCCCAACAACGCTAATTCCCTGGTACTTACCCCAGAGTGTACTCCCCATGTAGGACTGATTCGTGGAACCATAAAGACATAGACATTCCAGGGGTGACTTCTAAAGAGAGGTCACAGAAGACTTTGCAGCTCTGTCCGCTGGCTCTGGGACTATTCCTGGGGACGGCCCACCACCAAAGACCCCTGGCCAGTCTTCTGAAAACTTCCATGTGTTAAGGAATTGAAACTAGGGATACAGCTCAGCAGCACAGCACCTGCCTGATAAGCGAGAGGCCCTGAGTTCAATTCCTGGTACCTAAACAAAAAAAGAATCCAGACCTACAGCCAAGAGGTAGGGGGGTGCCCCTTTTGGGAAGCAGGTCCCCTAACCCCCATTTAGCTTTTCATGACTATGGTCTGGCTGATGGGCTGGCTGATGAGTTGACTCAACCTCATGAGCTACCTCAAGCCAGAAGTTCCCAGCCCACCTGCTGCTGAATTCCTGACCACCCACCTACCCCTGAACGTGTAGGAGATATTTACTGTTGTTTGAGGCCATTACATTTGGCAAAGTTTGATCCATAGTGAATAGGTAATTGTTATGGGTTAAGAACTGGTGGTCAGTTTAACACCAGCTGGATTACATCAGCATGGCACTGAGCGTAGATGTTCTACCTGAGGAAAGTTGCCAGCATAAATAAGTGGAGAAGGAGAAAGAGGGCGTTAATGCATTATTGCATTGAGGTGGTGAGGCATTGTGGGTTCTCCTTCAAGTTGCTGTCTGAGCTGTTGGTTCTCCTGGAGAAGCTCTGGACCTCACATCGAGCATTGCTTCCTGGCTCCGGAGGGGAAGACGTGTGCCGCTGGGTCTCCAGGATGAACTCGTCACGCTGCTTCCTGGCACGTACCCGACTGTGTTTGTCGGAGGAGGAGCTCAGGGCCTCTGTGTCGCTGAGGAGGCTGTGGTGCCTTTCAGGACAGCCCTGGTCTTTGTTGTGAGTGTGACTTCTCGGCTCCAGCGCAGAACCCCCATCCCACCAACATAGCTCCTTCACCCCACTGTCATGGACTTTCTGGCTTCCACCGCTGGCCTTTGGGCCTTCCTAGCATAGATCCGTAAAAGAGACTGGTGTGAGTCCTTCTTGTGGGCTCTGGACCTCCATCTGGACTCGTGGGAGGCATTGTTATGGGCTCTGGGTTTTCATCTGGACTCATGTGGGACATTGCTGTGGGATTTAGGCTCTTGGCTAAATGTTCTATGTCTTTGGTGTTGCAGATAGATTTCCTGCACTTTCTTGTGTTGACTACCATATTATTAAAAATAAGATTATAAACTCCATGTCCTGATTCTAACTGTAATCTGTATACAACCCCTGACTACATCAGAAATGAAGCCTGCTTCTGCAGTGTTCTCTTCCCCGGGCCATCTCCTCCCCATGCCCAAACTCCCCGTCAGGCTTCTCTACCTCCTCCTCTTTCTTGAATTGTAGTTTTCTAAGAATTACCCTCTGTCTGGGCACAGAGGTACACACTTCTAGTCCCAGCTCGTCAGTGAATTGAGGTGGGAAGATCTCTGGAGCCCAGGATTGCAGGGTCAGCCTGGGCAATATAGCAAGACCCTCTCCCTCAAAAAAAAAAAAAAAGGAATCACTCCCAGTGGGGCTGATACGAATTTTTTTCCACCTGCTCCTGCTTCTTTTGCCTGAAGACATGACAGTTTCTGTTACTCAGGCCCTGAGGCAGGAGCACTGTAAGAATAGCCTGGCCAACTGTATTTAAAATTTAAATTTAAAATATTTTTGGGGGGTAGGGGGACTTTTTGAGACAGGGTCTTGCTATACAGTTCAGGCTGGCCTTGAGCTCACTTTGTAGCCCAGGCTGGTCTCGAACTCGCAATGATCCTCCTGCCTCAGCCCCCCCGAGTGCTGGCCTGCAGATGTAACTCTGGTTAGACCACTTCATACTCTGCAGGGGAAAAGGATTATTTCTCCTGCCATCCCCACGTGTCTTCCTCTCAACTAACATCATGACAATGACAGTAGATAAGCCCATCCTTAAGAAAGAAGATTTCTTAGACAGTGTGGTGGCGCATGCCTGTACACCAGCATTTGGGAGGCTGAGGCAGGAGGATCGTTGCAAATTCGAGACCAGCCTGGGCTACAAAGTGAGCTCAAAGCCAGCCTGAACTGCATAGCGAGACCCTGTCTCAAAAAGACAAAAAAGAAAAGAAAAGAAAATAGGCTTCTTTATGTATCTCAATAATCCGAGGAAGGTCTGTTTGTGTTGACATTCTTCCTCAGTTTGTCCAACCTTCTCACAACACAGAGGAAAAAATCTCCTACATCTTCCTGTGGAGAAGCCCGGGCTGTCAGAAGAGCCCCCTGTCAATTCTGATTTTTCACAGGACTTTGGCACTGGCAGGAATGGGCTGGGGAACAGTATGCACTATCTTCATGGCAACGTGCTCCCTGGTGGGTCCCGGGCTCGCCCCCAGGCAGGGAAAGTGGCTTCCAAATGGAGGAGACAGTCAAAGGCTGGGCTGCCCAGGAGACAAGGGGCTGGGCAGTGGGGCTTAGTAGGTGCCTCATCTCCTGAGGCGGAGGGCTGGGGAGCCCAGGCCAGCACTGGAGAACAGGGTGAGCTGGGTCCAGGGTCTAGTGGAGCCGTGCACATGGGCAGATCTTTACCCTTCCTGCACGGTGTATGTACCTCCATGCTGTGGTCAGTCCTGGGCTCCAAGCGACTTTCTGCTTTGGGAAACGCTTCTGGGAACTCTATTCACACGGCGGAGGTTCCAAACTTGGCTACACACTGAAGACATTTGGAGATCTTTTTGAAGTGCTCACGCCTGGCTCCAGCACCAGGTATTCTGGACTCTCCAGATGATACAGTATGTTGCAGGTGTAGGATCACCTTAGGCCAAGGTTCTCAGCCAGGTCTGTGTACCCAAACCACATGAGGAACTTCAGAAAAGAAGGCAGATATTCCAAACCTCCTAAGTGCAGTCTCCTGAGCTGGTCCTGAATGGCTCCATCAGGCATCATGCGGTGAACAACTTTAGGTCCCGAAAAGGCAAAGTGGTGGAAAGAGGAACCCATCACAAAGCATGCTGATCTGCGGGGCATGGTGGCACACACCTGCAATCCCAGCACTCAGGAGGCTGAGGCAGGAGGATTGTCGCCAGTTCAAGGCCAGGTTGGACTACATCGTGATACAGAATGAGTTCAAAGCCAGCCTCAATTATATAGCAAGATCCTGTAAAAGAAAGAAAGAGAATATAAAGAATAAAGAAGCCTGATCTGCTAACTCAACCTAGTAAAAGACTACCAGTGTGAAATCTATGCTTATTATTCTCCTACTTATTACAAATACTTAATAATCCTTTTAATCTTTTTTAGATTATAAAAGTAATACACACTCATTGTAACTAATAAATCTACGCCGAGATCATAAAGGAAAGTTAATTCTGCCCTCTCCCTACCCCAGGCTCAGCCCCTGACCCAGCTGACTGATGTCAGCCATCATCTTACTTAATTTAGTTGGGAAGTGAATTGTTCTCAAACAAGTGAATTTGCTTAACAATTAAATTTATGTTTTACTTACCAACACTTGGTAACTTAAAGGCCTTCAGCCCATGAATTAAGATCCTTCAAAAAAAATATTGGGTGCTGCGTAGACAGACATTTATTTATTTATTCATTTTGGTTTTCTTTGACACAGGATCTTGCTATGTAGTCTGGGCTGGCCTTGAACTAATGGTGATTCTCCTGCCTCAGCCTCCTCAATGCTGATTATAGGTGTGAGCCACTACCTCCTTGCTTATTTATTTATTTTAAATTTTGAGACAGAATCTGGCTAAGTCACTGCATCGCCTAATCTGGGTTCTAACCTGGTGATCCTCTTATCTTACCCTCCCAGAGTGCTGGGGGAATTACAAGCATGGCAACTATGCCCAGTTTACCAATATCTTATGGGACTCTTGATGCATGCTAAATAGCTCCAACTAAGATTCATCCTATATTTTGGGGTGTTTTAAAAATTATTCTCCTCAGTTCAGGGTGGTTGTGCATACCTGTCATTCCAGGACAAATCAGGCAATGGAATGACTTCAAGGCCAGCCTGGAATATACAAGATCCTCTTAATAATAATAATAATAAATTGATTGTGGATCTCTATCCTTCCTCCCAGAGCTTAGCACCAAACTGTCAGCAGGTGTTCTTCTGTCTGTCAATGTACCTTGTTCTGTATATTCTGGACTGAAAAACAGATTTTTAAAAATTAGAGTTATTTGAAAACGATGAGACCTAATTTCTCTCAGAAGCATCAAGGATATGGGGGAAACTCAGGTACAAATATTTATTTTAGTACTGAGCAAAATTTTAAGCCTATAAATAAAAGCAGAGCCCACACAAGCCCGCCACTCACTTCCACTGTTAGCATCAATGGACACATTTCTCTAGTTGCTTCTTCAAAATTTCTTTGACCTGGTTCTCACTGAATTCTAGGTGCCTGGAGAATCCGGATGTCGGCTTCTGGGAAAACACGTCTCCTGAGTTGTTACCCTTTACTTTAGACAGCCACAGACAAGGCTATTTAACCCCAAGATGTTCGTAGCCACGGCAAGGAGGGTGCACGTTTGCTTCCTTTGGGTGTGTGTGGCCCTGGAGATGGATCTCAGGGGCTCGAATTTGTGATCCTAACACTGCATCCTCCTGAGCAGCTGGGACTGCAGGTAGACCCGCCCCCCCCCCCCCAAGTCCAGTCTCCAAGGTTCTTGTTAATCTTTCCCTCCAGGTCTCCAGGCCCACGAGGAGCGGTCCCTGCAAGTCCGGTTCCGCCCTTCAGGTGACTACGAAAGGGCTTGGCCAGAGAGATCCTGCTGGAGGATCTCTCCTGCTCCAGTAAGAGCAGGAGAAACCTGTGTGCTATTTCTTCACCCAGCACTCTGCCCAGCATCCCTGGCAGGAATGTTGATTAGTCCAGAGAGTAAATAAGCCTTCCCTCCCTCTATCTCATTCCGATGCCAGGCCTGGGAATACCAGGCTCCTCTGGCTCTTCAGTTCTTCTCTGGAAGTTTCTTCTGGTTTGAACCCAGCTGTGTGCCCGCCCAGAGAGCCCTGCACACTCACAGCAGCCTACAGCCTGTTACATCCTACCCATGCAACAGGTGCCGCCACCCCTGCTCTGCAGGTGAGGAATCCAAGGTGTGGGGAGGTGCAGCCACTTGTCTGGGTGTGTCCTTAATAAGCACAATCGCTGGGACTCGAAGAGCCTCGTCATCTGAGTCTTCATTAACAAGCAAGAGCTAATTATAGTCATTGAAGAGGCTGTTCTTTTTCTGTTGTGATTAATTCTGAGGTTATTTTTAGGCTCCAGAAGAATGGAGACTGATGGTGGGTTTTGTTCTGAGAAAGAATGGGGCTGTTCCGAAGTATTCCTTACCCAGCCCCTTTTTGCAAAAGTGAAACCCAAGAACCTGCAGCCGGGACATTCTTTTGAGTGTTTTCCGAAGCTCGAGAGTCCCCAGGAACTGGTGTCAACTTAAGCCACTTTTAATGAACACTGAAAAGCTATTTTCACACTTTGATAGAGGGGCGAGGCGTATAAATGAAAACCCAGTGTTCGCCACAGGGGTCCCCAAAGTGATTAGGGGCTGGTTACTGGGGCAGTTTTGTGTGCATGCGTGGGCTTGCATGTTCCAAGGATGGCTGTGACCAGAGGAACCCCTAAGAGAGAGGACACAGGAGGGGCGCAGCTCCCATACACTTCTGCAATGAACTTTTGAATCCTTTTTTTTTCTTTTCTTTTCTTTTTTGAGACACGGTCTCGCTATGCAGTTCAGGCTGATCTTGAGCTCACTTTGTAGCCCAGGCTGGTCTCGAACTCGCAAAGATCCTCCTGCCTCAGCCTCTTGAGTGCTGGGATTACAGGCGTGAGCAACACAGCCGGCTTTTTTTTTTGAGACAAAGTCTCACTATGGAGTTTAGGCTGCTCGGGGACTCACTATGTAGCCCAGACTGGCCTCAGACTCACGGTGATCCTCCTGCCTCAGCCTGGGATTGCGGACTTGCACACCCGGAGATCTTTTGAAGTCTTTTTGACAGAGGTTTCTTGGGGCAGATCTTTCCCTGCTTCAGATGGGTTCATAGTGGCCATCAGGTTAGCTTGGGGACTTTTTGTCTCTTCATTTGGCTTTGCCTGTCTCTGCTCAGCTCCCTGCTGGGTCTTTCTGGTGTCTTCTTCTTCTTCTTCTTCTTCTTCTTCTTCTTCTTCTTCTTCTTCTTCTTCTTCTTCTTTTCTCTCTCTCTCTTTCTCTCTCTCTCCGCAGTGGGTGGACCCCAAGGTTTTGACCCTGCTGGGGTAACACTGTAATGCAGAGCCACACTCTTTGCCCCAGACTTCAATTTCTTTTATTTTCTTTACTGGTTTCAGGAATCAAACCCAGCACCTCATGTTTGCCAGACAGGAGCTGTACCACTGAGCTACGTTTCTTTTTCTCTTTTTTGGTACCGGGACTCAAACTCACGCCCTCGCACTTGCCAGAAGGTCACGGTGCCGCTGAGACCCTCCACCCTCCAGACTTCAATGTCTAAGTGTTAGTTCTGGCTCCATGACTTATTTCATTTTTTGAGGGCCTCCTTTTCTTTTCGTTTCTCATTTCTTTTTCTTCAGGCACCGTTTGCAAATAACACCCTAAGCCATCCCTGGAGAGCCAGGTGGGGCTGGAGCCTCCTCTGCCCTTGGGACCTGGGAGGAGGAGGAGATTGGAAGACCTTGGAGACCTTTCCCCTAGCTGGGCTCTGTCTTCTCTTCCTGCACCCCTTCCCCACCCCGTCTCTGTCTTCCATCCCCATGCCTTTTTCCTTATCCTATAGTGCTCCTCCTGTTTCTCAGTTGTTTTATGTCTTCATTTATCTATTCCAGGAGGCCACTCCTGCTCTGGGATTGAAAATCTAAACGCAGTCTCTCACGCCAAACTTCCATGTCACCAACCTGAAGCTAAACTGTCTATCTGACCCTCCCAGGAACCAGGATTAGAGAGATAACAGCCAAAAATCCCAAACCCACAGGATCCAACCAGCATGATAATGAAGTTCCCGGTGCCTGAATCCATACACAGAGTAACGTGGTGTCAACTAATCAGTTACTTTTCTATGACCAATCCACTACCTTCTTTCCCCAACCCTTTTTATGTTTTGAAACAGAGTCTCCTAATCACTAACTGGCTGAGGCCGGGCTTGAACTTCAGCTCCTCCTGACTCAGCCTCCCAGTGTGCTAAGATTATAGGCATATGCCACCATGGCTAACAATGTTCTTGGTTTCTTTAAACTTTTTTTTTAAATTTTATTTTGAAAGTAGTAAAAATGTAACAGCACAAGACAGAACAAAGCCAATTGAGACAATGCAGTGAAATTGGTACAGGAGTTCACAATAGGATACTGGGATAGTAGTAATATGTACTATGGTATATCTCCTTGACTTCACAATAGTTGTTCAGTCAATTAGGTATAGCAAAATCAAACCAAAAATAGAACATTATAAAACCAATTGAGAGTACTGAATAGAGCAAAAGAAACATAACAAAACAAAACAGTGAAAACCTTTGCCTTCAAACATAAGATAGAAGGAAATCCCCCATATTTGCTATACTGCATGTGGTCATCCTCCCAAGAGATGCTGAGACATTTATCCCAGTAGATATGGGGCGGTGGGCGGGGGAAGTGTGCTTGATTTTCAGCCCATGTGGCAGTAGGCTTACAGCCAATGGTTCTCTTTCTGGCCCACGCCACAGGTGCTTACCAAGAGGGCAGAAGAATAAGCTGCCTGAGTCCCACCATGGCCGGGTCTCGGGAGTTCTCTAAACTTTTCTTTCTATAAAATGATTGTCCTCTGCTCAGCTCATTGAAATACGTATATTCTATGGAATGATGCCTGATTCTAGAGTTGAAAATAAAGCCAAGGGCTGGGATTACAGGCATGGCCAACAATGTTCTTTTATGTACAAGTAAAATCTGACATGGTTTGGTGACCTTTGAAGTCAGATCTGAGACCTATATCACAATACCCTGGAGGTTTGTTAAAAAGAGGGATCTCTGGGGCCGGGGTCACAAATGGACATCATTTCTAACACAATCTTGAGTAATTCTCAGAATCTGAGAACCACAACTTGTATGTAATACATATTTTAACATAACCCTTTTATTGTCTTAATTTTGTGTATTATAATATACTTGGGTTAGTGGCTTATGTATTTATTTTATAGATAATAGAAATATTTATATTGTACTTGCATTATGAATACTATATTACATATTGATATGTGGGATGTTTTAGTGATAGACACAGTCAAACAAGTTTGGGCAGCGTCACCCTAGCAGGTGGATTACAAATTCTCTGATATCAGAGAAAGTGTCATGTTATTATTATTTGTGATATTAGGGACTGAATCCACAGATTTCACACTGAGCTACACGCCAGCTCTTTTTAATTTTTTAGTTTGAGACAGGTTCTCACCAAATCTTCAAGTTGCCCAGCCTGGGCTCTAATTTGGGATTCTTCTGCCTCAGTTTCCCAGAGTTCTGAGATTACAGGCATGTGCAGCCACATCCAGCTTATTGTTTTTAACAAACCATCAAAATATATCACACAAACAGAGAGCTGTACCGAGTATGGACTGGACCATTATTCTCGGTATCTACTAACTATATCAAGGAGTAGATTTTTTTTTTGAGATAGGGTCTTGCTATGCAATTCAGGCTGGTCTCGAACCCACTTTGGAGCCCAGAGAGGTCTCAAACTTGCAATGATCCTCCTGCCTCAGCCTCCTGAGTGCTAGGATTTCAGGCGTGCGCCACCATGCACAGTTTAAGTAGTAAAGTCTTAAGCAGCATCCTGAATCCCTCTGGCACAATCACTACCTACCCCACTATTCCGACCTCTAAAGGTTTCCTGTAGGTGAAATAATGGCATATGTGTTTTTTGTTTCCTTTTGCTCCACATTACATCTGTGGGATTCATTTATGTTCCATCCTTTCTCCACTCCCAGAGTAGTTTCCCACTGCATGAGCCATCCCACTTTACCCATTTTGCTGCTGGTGAATGTCAGGTTGTCCCCAGCATGAGGCTACCCTAACCCTCATCAAATGCTCCCCCTGAGATGGACAGACCTAAAAGCATGGTACCAAAGACCAAGGACTAAAGTCTCTGAATTGTGAGCCAATAAACCTTTCCTTCTTAGCTGATAATCTCAGGTAT